CACGCTGGGAAATGGCAGAAGCACCGGTCACCTCCGAGTCGCCCGAACCAAGCGTGGACCTGTGCAGCGCGGCCCCCAGCCAGCGCCAGAACGACCGGGATCGCCCGTGTCTGTTTCTTTTTGAGTCTTTTAAACAGATTTCCGCTCTTACAGAGGTGATGTGCGGAGGGGCTGCAGTTACGAAGGTCAGGTCAAGAGCACAGTTCCTTTTGGACAGTGTCACCCTTTCCCTCGTTCTCCCCCAGTTTTTCCCGCCCGTATCTATAGTTCATTTTCAACATGGTTCCCAGTGAGTACCACTCCTGCAAAAAAAGAAAAAAGGTGGGGGGTGAACATTCCTTTGGTGTTGGTCCTGGGGCTTGAACTCAGGGTCTAGGCACTGTCCCGGAGCTTTCTTTGCTCAAGGCTGGAGCTCTACCACTTGAGCCACAGCCCCATTTCTGGCTTTTTTAGTGCTTCATTGGAGATAAGAGTCTCATGCCCTTTCTTGCCTGGGCAGCCTTTGAACGTCAATCCTTGAATCTCAGTCTCCTGCGTGGCAACGGTTACAGGCATGAGCCATCCATACCCAGCCATGCTATACCTGTTTTTAAAGCCCCTACTCTGCAGGAACTCGGCTAGGCACTTAGCTCTCAGCATCCACACAGTAGCGGGTTTGCATCGGTGTTTTACAGGAGGCAAACAGCTCAGAGGTTGAGTAGTGACTGTGTTGCGGGTCCAGAAAGTTTGGCTGTACCCCACAGCCTGTCTTCACACTGCTGAATGTGGCTGCCACTTTTTTACTTCGGTGTGTGAGATTGGGCACATGATCAGTGATGACACATTTCCCACCTGGTGAAAGCAACTTAAACTAGGGAACATGAGCCAGATGCTAGTGACTCACACCTGTAATCCTAGCTACTCAGGAGGCTGAGATCTGAGGATTGGAGTTTGAAGCCAACGTGCACAGGAAAGCGTGATGAGACTCATCTCTAACCACCAAAAAGCCAGTAGTGGAGCTGTGACTTAAGTGATAGAGCACCAGCCCCACATCCCATAAATCAGACAACATGATAGGATTGGAGTCTGTAGCTAGTCTAATGGCAGTGCCATACAGTGTGCCTGCACTCACAATGGTGTATCTTGTAGCCTATTACAATAATAATCTTCCAGCCTTCACTGCCATGAAGTCCTCAAAGACCCTTGAGGAGTTTATGATCTAACAGTGTGACCTGGATCAAGAGCTAGAGGTACAACACAATAAATGGATCAGAGAAAGGGAGCTATTCTGAGTGGAGCAAAAGCCACCCATGAAAAGGCAGAGTCGGGACTAGATTTGGGAGAGGGATTTGAGTAGAAAATGTGGAAGAGCAGAGGAAGTGTTCGAGGAAAGGGACAGCTGGCCATGGGTCACAGCGGTGAATGGGGTCACAATCGCAGGCCGGGCGGACACTCCCGAGCTCTCCCTGTCCCGCCTCACAGGAACACTGCCGGTTCCACCGAGCTCTGGGGCCCTCCTTCATGCATCCATGAAAAGCAAGCTCGGTTTTCTGTCATATGTAAAGTTCTTTCCAGCCTTCAAGGCGCCCTGACTCTTAAGGCTTCTGCACTGTGGTGCCATTGTCTTTTTACCTGCCTCATCTGCTCTGCTCCCTGGAAAGCCTTGGCTCTCTTTACAGTCGTCACTGGAACTCTTGAAAGGCCAGGTCTCGGGAGATCCACTTCAGAGGCCTGCATGGACTGAGGCAGTCTGGAGAGACACCCCAGGGTGAGGGTGGGGTGACGAATGTTGAAGAGAAGACACCAAGGGAACAAACTTTGCTAAGTGATACAAGCACAGCCAGAGAGAGTACCACATGGAGAGCCAGTCTTTATGCCCGATTTGTAAACTCTTCCACTAGCTTTGCTGCTTGCTCGTTCTGAGACTACAGGGTGTGTGTGCACGCGTGCACCTATTCTAATGAATGACACCTGGTAATGTCACAAGAGATAATGTGACTGATAGTAAAATGAAATAATGTTTTGGGGTTTGCTTTTGGTTTTACCAGTCCCAGAGCTTGAACTTTGGGCCTGCGTGCTGTCCCTGAGCTTCTTTTGCTCAAGGCTAGTGCTCTTGAGCTACAGCACCATTTCCAACTTTTTCTGAGCAGTTTATTGGCTGCGATCTTAGAGCTCAGCCACCTGTTGCTTGTTTACATGGTACTGTGGATTGGATCTAAGGCCTTACACCTACTAGGCAGGCAATCTACCACTTAAGCTATGCCTCCATCACCTTTTCCTTTCTTTCCTTCCTTCCCTTCCTTCCTTTCTTCCTTTCTCTCTCTCCATCCTCTGCCCTTTCTTTGTCAGTCATGGGGCTTGAACTCAGGGCCTGCATGCTGTCTTTGAGCTCTTTTGCTCAAGACTAGCTCTCTACCACTTTGAACCACAGCACCACTTCCAGATTTCTGGTGGTTAATTGGAAATAAGAGTCTCATGGAACCTGGGTGCTGGTGGCTCACACCTATAATCCTAGCTATTCAGGAGGCTAAGATCTGAGGATCGAGGTTCAAAGCCAGCCTGGGCAGGAAAGTCTGTGAGACTCTTTTCTCCAGTTAACCCAGAAAACTGGAAGTGGTGCAGTGGCTTAAGTGGTATAGTGCTAGCCTTGAGCTGAAGAGCTGAGGGACAGTGCCCAGGCCCAGAGTTCAAGCCTTACGACCGACAGAAAAAAAAAGAAAGAAAACAACAACTTTCATGGTCTTTTCTGCCGAGGTTGGCTTTGAATCATGATCCTCAGATCTTAGCCTCCTCAGTAGCTAGGATTACAGACATGAGCCACCAGTGTCCCTTTTTTCATTTTTGAAGTAGGATCTTGAATAATTTCCTGGCCAGTCTAGGCTGAGATCCACCTAGTTACATTTTCTTGAGCCTCTAGGATGCTAGGCACATGCCACCATGCCCAGCCATTGTTGCTTCTCCATTGCTGGGATAATGTGCACCGGTGTGCCCAGCCATTTGTCAAAATGGAGTCTTGTATGCGCCAGCGCGCATCAAGCTGGAGCCTCATGAGCTTTTGCTTTGCAAGAGTTGCTTAAACCTCAGTCTCCCATCTCTGCCCCCTATGTGGCTAGCATCACAGGCTTTAACTACTACCCATGACTGAAATAATAGTTTTTGAAGGCTGTGCGAAGTAAATCAAGTCACTACGTCACAACTAGTTCAGGAACTGAGGACTCACTGGACATTGGCACTGTACACCTCATAAACCAAGACATCAATTCTCTCGGCTGGCTGTTGGTAATTGTGTATAGCATCCATACACACAGGAGCTTGGTTTTAGTAAAGGTTTGTGTGTGTGTGGCTCGAACTCAGGGCCTGGGCAGTGCTGCTCAGCTTTTTTTGCTCAAGGCTGCTCCACTTCTGGCTTTTGCTTATATCAGGAGATAAGTGTCTCATGGTCTATCCTGCCCAGGCTGGCTCTACCACATCCTCAAATTAGAGGTAACCCGGGCAGACAAATCTGAGGATCTCATCAGCATCCCTGCTTTGCCTACATCTTGCCCACAGCATCCCCAAGTTGTGACCATCAAAAAAATATATACCCAGGGGCTGGGTATAACTCAGGCCCTGGCTTCTTCACCCTCAGCACCAAAAAAAAGGGGAAGAGAGGGGTTCAGTCACTGTCAGAGCAC